TGATATGGAGTTGGTGGTCATAGTCTTTGCCTTGAAGGCTTTGCGCCACTATTTATATGATGAGCAGTTCAAGGTATTTTTAGACCACAAAAGTCTGAAATATATTTTCACTCAGCGGGACCTCAACATGAGGTAGCATAGGTGGATGGCATACCTGGAGGACTATGACTTCACTTTGCATTACCATCCTGGTAAGGCAAATGTAGTGGCTGATACCGAGAGTGGCGGATGCTCGAGACTGTGGGACAGTTTGGGCTACATTATCGAGATCAAACTTAGGGTGTTTTAGGGATCTTGGTGGCTACGCCTCCCTATTGAGTAGGGTGATTGAGTCCTAGGTGAAGGATCCAGAGTTATCATCCATCAGGGCCCAAGTATAGGCGGGTACCGATGACGAGGACTATGCCATTCACTCGGATGGCAGTCTTTGGTATAGAGGAAGGATTGTGGTTCCCCAGTTAGATCTAAGAGAGGAGATCCTTAGGGAGTGCTATTGCTCCCAATTTGTTGTGCACCTAAGTAGCACAAAGATGTATCATGATCTTCGTCGCCAGTATTATTGGAGCGAGATGAAGAGACACGTTGGAGACTTTGTTGGTAGATGTCTCACGTGTCAGTAGGTTAAGGCTGAGCACTAGAGAATAGTTGGATTGCTCCAGCCCTTGGAAGTGACTGAGTGGAAGTATGAGCACATCATAATGGATTTTGTGACTCACTTACCACGGACATCACGGGGGTACGATGCGGTGTGGGTAATAGTAGACCGGCTTACCAAGTCAGCACACTTTTTGGCAGTGTAGATGACCTTCAAGCTGGAAGAGTTCTACAGGTTGTATATACAGGAGATAGTCCGACTAAATGGGGTGCCCGTATCTATAGTATCAAATCAGATCCCCAATTTATGGCTCACTTTTGGGAGAGCTTCCAACAGGCCATGCTACAGTTGACCATGAATACAGCCTTTCATCCCCAAACTGACAGCCAGATTTTAGAGGACATGCTATGGGCATGTATCCTAGATCTCAAGGGTAGTTGAGAAGAGCNGAGCTTCCAACAGGCCATGCTACAGTTGACCATGAATACAGCCTTTCATCCCCAAACGGACAGCCAGATTTTAGAGGACATGCTATGGGCATGTATCCTAGATCTCAAGGGTAGTTGAGAAGAGTATTTACCCTTAGTGAAGTTTGCCTACAACAACAGTTATCAGGCGAGCATACAGATGGCACCCTATGATGCACTATATGGGAGGCCTTGTCGTTCTTTGGTATGTTGGACAGAGGTGAGAGAGAGACCCTCTACGGTTTCAGATTTGATTAGAGACACCTCGAAGAAGGTAGACTTGATTCAGAGCGTCTTCTCAAGGCTCAGAGCCAACAGAAAAGTTATGCTGGCAGAAAGAGGCGACCTCTAGAGTTTGAGGTTAAAGATCACATCTTCTTAAAGGTGATGCCTAAGAGGGGAGTGATCAGGTTCATAAAGCGGGGGAAGCTGTCGCCGAGGTATATTGGGTCCTTTGAGGTATTCGAAATGGTAGGTATATTGGGCCCTTTGAGGTACTCGAAAGGGTGGGTACAGTGGCTTATTAGTTGGTGTTATCGTAAAACCTAACTGGTGTTCACGCGGTGTTCCATGTCTCCATGCTCCGGAAGTAACTCCAGATCCGACGCATGTTGTGGATTGGGGTGAGCTAATTGTTGATGCATATGGGACCTTCGAGGAGGGACCGGTACGCATCATGGATAGTCGAAAGTAGATTTTGCGAAGCAAGACCGTAATGCTAGTGAAGGTGCTGTAGCAGCATCGAGGTGTGGAGGAAGTGACATGAGAGCGTGAGGACACCATACGTACTAGTTATCCATTCTTGTTCGAGAATGGAGGTACATTTTTACAATTTTAAGTATAGAATTACTGTTGCATATGCATGTCATTGTATGCGCATGTATGTGTGAATTTCGAGGACAAAATTTTTTTGAGAGGGGAAGAATGTAAAACCGAGGTAAATTTGAACNACCATACGTACTAGTTATCCATTCTTGTTCGAGAATGGAGGTACATTTTTACAATTTTAAGTATAGAATTACTGTTGCATATGCATGTCATTGTATGTGCATGTATGTGTGAATTTCGAGGACAAATTTTTTTGAGAGGGGAAGAATGTAAAACCGAGGTAAATTTGAACTTTTTACAAAAATAAGTAAAATGGTAATTTGTCACTATGGTACGGGTTGCAAACCTAAATTTTTTAGATCTCGAATGATGAAAAGCACCTAACTGTTGGATTCGTCTCGCATAATCTAGTTGTCCTGTCAAATTTTGTTAAATTCTGAGATCGTCAGATTTTTTACGTTTTACGAGGCGATCAGGCCTTGGGTGACCCAAAAAATGAATTTTTGAATAAATTTTGAAAGTTGAAAAATAATTTAAAAAAGGTTCATAGAAAAGTATTTTCAACTTGAACCGGACCGAAATTTAATAGTTTCAGGGCGAAAATGGACCCGGGAAAGAAGGTCGTGTGGCACATTGTGGGCCAAGTATCCTAGGAGTATAAATAGGGGAGAAAAATCAGATTTCTCCCCTAGTCATCAGTTGGGTTTTAACGTTAAAAAGAAGAGAGGAAAAAGAGAGAAAATCTAACTTCTTTCTACGACCTACGCCCCCTCGTTGCTCGAATCAACTCGAGCCAATTATTAAAGTTATTTTCCTCGACTAGGGCAACACGTCCATACCAAAAAAGGATAGATTCCACCAAATTTTTCGAGATGGAATTTTTGGAAAAATTCAAGGTTGAGATTGGGTGGTGTTCTTGAAGGTTCTACAACTCGTTTTACGCTTCAAGAGGTAGAGTTTTCATCCTAATTAGGTTTATTTCAAACTTAGGTTTGAAATATATTATAGGTAGGTTGTTAGAAGTTGTATCACTTGCATATTGTTGTAAAAATTGAGGAATGGGTATGNTTCAAGGTTGAGATTGGGTGGTGTTCTTGAAGGTTCTACAACTCGTTTTACGCTTCAAGAGGTAAAATTTTCATCCTAATTAGGTTTATTTCGAACTTAGGTTTGAAATATATTATAGGTAGGTTGTTAGAAGTTGTATCACTTGCATATTGTTGTAAAAATTGAGGAATGGGTATGAGAATTGGGTAGAATAATTTCTATAATGAATTAGGTATGTGAAAATTACCTAATGTGATTCTTAAGTTATGTGATTAATTGGGCAAATTATGGGATGTCATGATTGAATGCCTTGAAGGTGTTTGAAATAAATGCAAATGTCAAATTAAGTATATTGCATGGATAATGTGATAACATGATAGGGAACTGTTATGGGTGTGATGTTAATATATGTTTTATGATATGTTAGCATTATGATAAGTGTGAAAATTATATGCTATTGATATAATTGGCAATAGAATGATGGAAATTGCTCATTTGACATTCATTGTATATTGGGCATGATGTTTTCATCACATTCATGGGCAATGGGCATGAGTGTGGGTGTGTGTGTGCATGGTTCAATCAAACACCATATTTGGTGGATGATGGGTGGGTTCGAAAAAAAGTTGGAATGAGGTTTCAACTAAGTTGCACGGTTGCATGAAAAAAAAAAAAAAAAACTTGTGTCAAGTATAGCAAGAAGGGCTAGACTCTCCCTCAGGTGCAAGACTCAGCTACTAGTTTATAGTATAAACTTTATACACTTCCAACGGTGCAAGTCTAAAAAAGTGTATCGATGTGTGGAGCCGGCACTGCAACACCAAAAGTTCGCTACCCAACAGAGACATGATTTTTGAATTATAAAATTGTCATTCGATGTATAACATCAATGGCGGGGGCTTGGAATGCCCGATTTTTCTCACATTAGCATTGCATTATGTTGTGAGAGCCGGTGAAGACTCGGGTTAAAGTGCATGAGTGAGTCTCATCTCATTTCATGGCATGACATGAAATTCTTGTCATTAAACGCATATTTTAGATGGGAATGTTTTGAATGGNGTGAGTCTCATCTCATTTCATGGCATGACATGAAATTCTTGTCATTAAATGCATATTTTAGATGGGAATGTTTTGAATGGTTGATTGTTATATGTGAACATTTCATATGCATCTAGGTTGGTGAGTAACCTCTCTTTAGGAGATGCCCTATTGAGCGTGGCTCACCCTTCATTGGAAACATTTCAAGTGCAGGGTCCACATAGGCAGACGGCTCCCAATTCGAGCCTCAATAGTGAAGAAGGCTGACTTGTGGCTTTTATGACTCATTTTGTATAACTTTTGTGAAAATTTCATTTTTGGCATGAATATATATGGAATGGCTTGTAATAGAACTTTTCATATCATGCTTCATGTGAAAAACTTCATTAAACATGTATTGAATGGTTGTGGGATGGATTTGAAGTAATTGAAAATCAAAAACAGGTGAAACAGACAATTCTGGGCAAAACCTGTCGGTAGATTTGAGCAAAACCTACCGGTAGATGTGGTCTAGTAAGCAAAACCTACCGGTAGATGAGGTCTAGTAAGCAAAACTTACCGGCAGAACGTCACTTTTTCTACGGTAAAACTTTTCCAGTAAGCAAAACCTACCAGTAGGTTTTTCAAAAATCTGAAATTTTAAGAATGTTATACTATGCTTTCGGGTCATGTGTTCTTTTATTCAAATAATATAAATTAATATTAAATGAAAATAAATTATTGTATATTGAACCTTGGATGGGTCATGTGAATGTTGTGTACACAGGTTACGCATTGGGAATTCTCGGTACAAGGGAAACTCCGTCCAAATTGAGTTTTGTGATCCCAGTTAAGGGAATGCTATTGACGTAATGTCAGGTCATGCGACGATCACAAATATTTTCGCAAGTTGATGGATGAACAACGGTCGACAAAGGACCCAATATTTTGGGCTTCACACTCTTCCTGTCTTCATTATGTCAGTGTATAATGATAGTGCACGACTATTTAGGAGGATATCCCACACAAAAACAAAACAATTCTTTTTCCTACAAATATTAAACAATTCCATGCAAAGAATGCATTACAATGTCGAAAGTCAAAACCTGGCCAGGGAGTTAGATGTGGTCCCTGCTTGGCAGGTGTAACACATTTTACAGAATGTATGAATCAGTGAATTAAAACTAAATTAACTACCATATTAGAATACAATGGAAATCAAATGGATTTGCATGACAAGAAAGTATTCCCCTGACTGGAAAGATTACGCCATTGCCTCACAGCAATTATGTGTTTTCTGATGGCAAGATTCCATAACAAGAACTACTACAGAAACACTTCAACCCTTTAGGCCTTAGCCTAATATCTCCGTAACTGAAAGTAAGCTCTTCATCTTCTTGTGTATCTCTTGAAGCAAAAAAGCATAGTCGAGGTAGCAAAGCCCCTGAGTTTCGCACCAACTTTGTTGATAGATTACCACCATCACAAGAATGGTTGATGAATCGTGCAACATTTCCGACTCGTGTGGCATCAATATTAATCCTCATACATGCATTTCCTGATGGAAGGTGCTCCTTTAAAACCAGAAGAGAAGAAGAAAACTGGTCATCTGAAGCAAGATCATCATATATTTTTTGCCGCGTTCTTGCTTCTTTAGTCATCAAAAGTTCACCTATTTTGGTAAAATTTCATAAAGAATGAAGTTCAAGACAGGATTAATATTCTGAAAATTCATTCTTAACATAACGAAAAAATAAATAAATTCAATGAAGCAAATGAAATGATGGTAACCTCTATGTAAGTACTTCATAAAATGAAGTTTGATAAAGAGTGCATCTTGTCCAAAAACAAGCTCTAGAATTGTTTAGGTCAAATAAAAAAATAAATAAACATTAGAATCCACACTTGGAAAGAACTAACATGCTACTGAAGATTATAATGGAGAATCGGGATCGACTACCACGCCAGTCTTTGTTTGAATACTAGTAATGACAATAATAGTGAAGGTAATTCCTCGAATTTAATGTTGACTTGCTGTGTTAGTCCCTATGTAATTGTTATTAATTATTTTTTTGGCAGACCAAACATTATTAGTTTTTACTCCTCTTTGCATTTGCCATCTAGCTGTCTCTGCAAGCCTACAGCTGCCAGAAAGGTGTAAAACTTTGCTTAAATCGTGGCTCATGAGTAGGTATGCTTCAAAAGAATGTATGCTGAAGCAATCACAACTTACCATGTTCTTCATTTAAAAGTTGATTGGCCACCACTTCTCACATTCTACCCCGAGTGTATTTTCTTTAGACAAAAAAAAAATGTGTCTCCTCTATGATTAGAGAACGACTTCATATTCCCTGTTCTTTTAAGCAATGCCATCATCTTGTATGATTTTTAAATGTCTCAAGAATGATGAAAAACTGCCGCCTTATGCAGATACTAGTACCTCTATATAATGAGGATCACATAGACCTGACTACTAACCTTATTCGCGAACAGAGATGTATATAAAGCTAACTAAATATTCATCAAGAAGTAAGTGACCTGGCTACTTTTTCTGTTATGAAATGAGTTTATACTCACCAGATTTTTGAAAATGTCAGGTTAGTCCACAATCTACCCCTCCAAGCAACCGAGAATAGCACGACTAATAATGGGTAATGCCATTTCAATCATGTCAAGCATATTCCAAATTTATGCCAGAATAAGCTATTACTTCATCATTGCTCCCATCTTATGGCATTATAAATGTGTCCTTGTCATAATTCTTACTAATGGTATACTTTATATATGTGCATGCTATGCTGTTTTGATAGTTCTTTGGGTTTTGGTATTATATATTGTTGGTATCCATTAACTTTGATAGGAAGCATATACCAAATGTCAAGTTAATTAAGCATGATTAATGTAAATTAAGACTTTATTAAGAACACTTAGACTATAATCACTTAATTTGTTTAAAGACCCTAATCATGTGGATTAATTCAAGTTAAAGGAGTTTAGAAGTGCCTAATTAAAAGATTAGCCTAACTAATCAAGTTGTTGACTTTTCTAAGAGGTGTGTGCTTGTGTAGAGTAAGAGAGAGTGTTATATAATAAAGGGTAATAGGGTCATTCTGTGTGCTGGTAATAAAGGTTGAGCCGTTGTGTTCACCATCGTATTCATCGTCGTCATGTTCATCGCCTCGTTACTGTTGGTGTGATCCATTAAATTGAGTTGCTATTGGTGCGACCATTAAATTGAGTTGCCGGAGTTTCGACATCTCAGGTTGAGTATGAGATGTGGTTGAAGCTGAATCACTAGTAGCTGAATGGTGGAATCATCAAGCTTTGATCAGTGTTGTTTCAAGTTTTGGTGCTAGGGTTTTTTNTGATAGCTTGTGAACAACCTTAGATCTCTAAATCCAAAGGCTAAACCCATCTTATGATTTCTATCTAACCTTACAACTTGGAGAAGAACTTGTTTGGTTCTAACAAACCCCCCCTTGAAGAGTGTGCATATTGAGATTCTTGGGTGCATCCTAGGAGTGCTCGAAATCATAAATGAACCTNTCGCTTCAGTTGGTGGTTGAAAAAAGGATCCGTTCCATTCGGGTTATAATTGATCAGACCCACTTTTAATTAAAAGTCCAGATCAGTTGCTTAGCCCTGCCCAATCTTATGATTTAGTCCAAGTCCAGATTAACAAGTGCAACCCAAGTCAGTAGTGCAGCCCAATTTAATGGTTCGGATCCAAGCCCAAGTCTGGTGATTTGGATCAAAGCCCAAGTCATCTGGTTCAAATTCAGTTCGGTTCAACACCTTTCAGGCTGGTTCAGACACAGTTCAGTCTGGTTCATACCCAAACTACTCCAGTTCAGTCCATTTTAGGCTGGTTCAGACCTATTTCTGCTCGGTTCAGGCCTATTTCAGTCCGGTTCAGTGCATCGCAGACAATTCATATACTTTTTCAGTTCAGTTTTGTGCATTTCAGACCTGTTCAGGTCTAGAATCTGCAGGTTCAGGTCTGGNGGTTGAGCCGTTGTGTTCACCATCGTATTCATCGTCGTCATGTTCATCGCCTCGTTACTGTTGGTGTGATCCATTAAATTGAGTTGCTATTGGTGCGACCATTAAATTGAGTTGCCGGAGTTTCGACATCTCAGGTTGAGTATGAGATGTGGTTGAAGCTGAATCACTAGTAGCTGAATGGTGGAATCATCAAGCTTTGATCAGTGTTGTTTCAAGTTTTGGTGCTAGGGTTTTTTGCTTCAGTTGGTGGTTGAAAAAAGGATCCGTTCCATTCGGGTTATAATTGATCAGACCCACTTTTAATTAAAAGTCCAGATCAGTTGCTTAGCCCTGCCCAATCTTATGATTTAGTCCAAGTCCAGATTAACAAGTGCAACCCAAGTCAGTAGTGCAGCCCAATTTAATGGTTCGGATCCAAGCCCAAGTCTGGTGATTTGGATCAAAGCCCAAGTCATCTGGTTCAAATTCAGTTCGGTTCAACACCTTTCAGGCTGGTTCAGACACAGTTCAGTCTGGTTCATACCCAAACTACTCCAGTTCAGTCCATTTTAGGCTGGTTCAGACCTATTTCTGCTCGGTTCAGGCCTATTTCAGTCCGGTTCAGTGCATCGCAGACAATTCATATACTTTTTCAGCAGTATTGTGCACTTGGTACAAGTCCACAAGCTTCACAGTCCAATTTTTCACCTGTTTCAGTGTTCTATTGAGATCCTGTTGTTGAGTCCCCGCCTCTATTTTTGGTTTTTTTTTTTTTTTTTTGTTTTTTTTGTGTGATGTTAGCAAGACTAATACTGTTGCTGCTAGTCCTATAGCATTGTCAAGACTTTACTGGGTTATCCATTACCTTTATTAAGTTGAATGGAGTAACTACGTGTCATAGTCTTGTTCTGTTAAAAGTCTTTCTCATTGCGAAAAATAAAGTTGAATATCTCACAAATGATCAACCTAGTAAAACTTGTTAGGATCATGTTTGTAATTAGCTAATTTTGTGAAGACTTTTTGTAAATCTCAACCTATTCCATAGTCATGATACTACTGCAAAGTTAAAGATTTGAAAACATCAATAGAAGGGAGGACATTGTGCTTCAAAAAACATCAAAAGACTCTCCATATGCACCTTCGTTCTTAAGACAAAGGTAATGGCATTAGACACCTTAGCACCCTTGGTTTAATTTATTAGATTTAAGTTGATTAGATAGAATAGAATTGATGATTATTCAGTTACCGACTCCCAGGTGTTTTTCAAAAAAAAAAAATATAAACCTTAATTATGTTTTGAAAACATAGATTTGAGTCCTTAATTGGACCTCATTTGAGCAACACCATTTAGTGTTCAAAGGGACAAGTTTTTGCTTGATTTTTGGCTTAAATACCTGTAGGGACTGCCCTATGTGTACTAACCTTCACTAGAGCGATCTCCGAATACTTATGGATAAAATCAGGAGAGGCTAAATAAGTGGGCAGTGGAGACCGCCCTATGGGTCGTTCTCAGACGGCTCGAGCGATCTTGAGGTCACTTAAGTGGTCCCTACTTTATTGCTTTGGTCACAAATTTGTGTTATGAGCCTATAAATACAAAGTGTCTTTCCTATGCTACAATAAGCCTCTTGAGAGAAAATTCAACGTATTCAAAACGTTGATAGCTTGTGAACAACCTTAGATCTCTAAATCCAAAGGCTAAACCCATCTTATGATTTCTATCTAACCTTACAACTTGGAGAAGAACTTGTTTGGTTCTAACAAACCCCCTTGAAGAGTGTGCATATTGAGATTCTTGGGTGCATCCTAGGAGTGCTCGAAATCATAAATGAACCGTGCGGCAGGGAGTTCAAGTGAAACTATCCACATCATCAGTGGATGTATCCGGTGGAGAGATCAATTGAAGGAAAAAAGTGTCTAACCATGGTATTAGTTGAGATATAAGACTCAAGTACTTGTAAATTGATTGTGTGACTGCGGATTAGACTTTGGTGAACCTCGAGTAGTTCAACAAATCGCTTGTTTTATTTATTGCTTTATTTTTACATACTTGTGATTTGTAACACACACGGGCACTATATGTTTATTGATATGATTGATTAAGCATTCTTATCATACACAATGATTTAGTAATGGGTTGATTGCCTTGGGTTGGATTGTCATGAAAGACTAGGTATTAATTGATAAAATTGATAAATTCATTATACTAATCTCCATGAGTTTCATGGGTTGTTCTTGTTAAAGAGGTTCTCAGTTTTTAATTGATTATGACTTGGTGTGTGTTTGATTGAAATTGACCTTTGGATTGACTATGGGCTCCATCAAATATTGGAACTTAGTGTTGATCTAATGATTCTACTGAAGCCACATCATTATGTCAACAAATTAAGTCAGATTCTTATGTACAAATAGGATTACTCTATCATTTATCCTTACAATTGGTATTAGAACGAGTCTCCCTATAAGATGTACATTGTACGCATCTATTGCATATTTGCTTATATTACTTAGTTTTTGTTCTTTTGGGATCTATTGTGACTACTATTTAGATTCTAATGGATTCTCAAAAAGAAAAATCCATGTGGGGAGACCACCGTTTTTGTTCTTTTGGGATCTATTTAGTTAGGTACATTGCATGACCACCGCTTTACGATGGGACAAATTATAATGAGAGCTTTCCTCAAATTACTTGATAAGTGAGTGTGGTTATATGTGCTAGAGGGTTGGAGACCTCCGACAGTCACGACCCCCATTGAAGGTGGTGAGCCAATCGTTGAACTAAAACTCCATAATACTTGGACAAAAGCCAAGTACAATTTGTTGGGGTAGAACTCAAAAGCTTTAATGCGATATTCAATGTCGTGACACCGAACAAGTTCCGGAGGATAGCTACTTGTGAAAGCTCCAAAGAAGCATGAGACATCTAGCAAATCTCCCACGAAGAGACTCAAATGGTGAAGATTTCTCGACTTCAAAGGTACACCTCTTAGTTCGAGATTTTGAGAATGCAAAAAGATGAAAGCTTTAGTGATTTCTATGCTAAACTTAGTGATATTGTTAACTTATCTTCGCATTAGATATCAAATATGATGACACAGTGATTAAGTGAAAAAAATTAACATCTTTGTCAGAAAAATTTTATACTAAGGTGGCGGCCTTAGAAACAAGTGTTAATTTGAAGGTGTTGATAGAAGACCTTGTTGGCTCCGATTTGACATTCGAGATTAATCTCATACCACCCAAGAAAGTGAAGGGGGTATCTTTGAACTCGACACGAGAAAAAGAGATAAATATGCATCACCCCGATTAGGAAAAGAGGACATAGCCTATATTGCTAGAAAATTCAAAAAATACTTCAAGCCTAATATTGTTGGGTCGTCTAGGTCGAAGGGTAAGTTGGGTAGACCAAAAATTCCTAAAGAGGGAAGAGAAAAAGGGTGAAGAAATTCTTGACATGAAGTTGACAAGAAAGGGCAAGGCATCCAATGTTTTGAGTGTCATGGATTTGGTCACTTGGCTGCAAAGTGCTCGAATCGAAAGAAGAGAGATTCGTCCAAGGAAAAGAGGAGGGCAATTAAGGCCAAAGTGAGCGAGAGTGAAAGTGAATCCACCACAAGTGAGGACTCCACATTTCAAGAAGATGAAGAGAATTCGCTGCCTTTGTTGATTCATAATCCTCGCCCCCTAAAGAAACT